CAGCAGAGGGATGGGAGAGGCCAGTATAAAAGATGATGAAGTAACACAGTTGGGGTTGGTTTGCTAGTAGAAGTGGCCTGGAATGTCCTTGAAATGATTAGTTCTTTGGGTAGAGGGTGTGTCCAGATATTTGCGGTGCTTGAATGCTTCAGCAGCAGTTGACTCCTCTATAGAAAAGCTCACCTGAATTGTGTGGATTCTTACTGGGATTTTACAGCTGCAGGAGTTGGAAGAGCAGCGTCTTCAGTCTGAGCGTTATGTTCATGACTTGAAGACTGCCTTGGACAGTAAGGAAAGAGAAGAAAGAGTTTCTTCCCAGAAACTGCAGGACCTTCTGTTGGCGTCTTCTGGGACTAATACTACTATTAAACAACTGGAAGAACACGTGCAACGGTAAGAGAGGAACACAGTGAAGCAAAGTCTCTATGTTGCTTTCTGGGATTGTGTGGAAACAACAGGATAGCCTTGTTGCATGACAGCAAGTTGATACACGATTTTGAAAGATGCTTTTGGTTTAGAATCATAGAATCATACAGTTGGAATAGACCTATAAGGTCATCAAGTCCAGCCGTTGACCTAGTACCACCATGCCCACTAAACTTAGACCGTGTTATTTCGCGCTGTTCTTTCAGAATTGGTGCTCTGGTGGTAATAAGACCTGTATTTCTTTTTAAGCCTTGAAATTGAAAATGCCAGACTGGAAGCTACAGTCCAGCAACAAAGCGGTAGGATCGAAGCCCTTCAGAGAGACCTGCCAGCCTCTTCCTCAGTAAGCTACTCATAAACTTCCCTTTTTGTGAGCTCCTGAGCCTCATTGCCTGTATCTGTGGGGAAATGTTAAGATGAGGTTTTCCTGGAGAGCCTAGGGGAGCTCAGTCCCTACATTCTGCTGAGTAGAGGCTGCTCGGAAAGCAGCCTGGTCCATTCCCCAGCTTTCTGGTGTTGAGAATTTTCCCATGCTACTTTAGCAAGTCCTACTTAATGCTCTAAAAGGTAAGGATTTGACACTAATACACTGGTGTAACTCTTGTCTGCAAATGGTTGTGACATCAGATGCTGCTTCATACACTTGTCGCAATGTGTATCATTGAAGATACTCATCCAAGTTAACTCATGGAAATTCCACAGGGGATATTGATGCCAAGCACTTTGTGGTGGAGCACTGGCTGGCATCATCAGACTTGGAACCAAAATGAAAGTCCCCAGAGCCACTACTGTGCAGGATTGCTTTTCCTTTGGCCACTTGGGGGGTGTGTGTGCTTTTATGAAACAGTGAAGAGGAGTGCCTGTGGTACCACTTGCAGGACTTGGTGCGAGCCTTGGAATTGCACACTGCCGCTACACAGTGGTTGATTTTAGCTCAGATAAAGCGCTTTCGTCTGTGGCCTGTATGAAGCAAATAATTTTTGTATTGTAACCAGTGAACTAGGGTTCTTGTACCAATGTCATTTTTCAATTAGTGCTAAAGAGATCTTGACAATAACTACATGTGAAAGTTGAACATTTTGATGACCGATACTGACAAGAGAAGAGGGAAGGCAGTCATGATGCTGGTCCTTTTCCTGTGGTTAAAAGGGCATGATTTTCAAATGTGCTGCGGATGGGAAGAGCTACTCCTGCCTGTTTTCATTGAAGATTCTTTGTATCCCGCATGGAGTCCTCTCTCCCTGAAGTAAACAGCAGAGATGGTGATTGCTAGCAATTTCACAATGGTATCAAACTGAGGCCATTTTGATCATTGGTGCTGGAATAGAGGGGATGTGGTGTATGTAATATTTATTTTTGGTAATGAGGTGTAAACTTCAGTCTGGAAAGTCAGAGAGTGTCTTTTTGCTGCTTTTTATGCTTCTGTAGGTTCATAACCGCCTGGAAGACTTGATAACTGGCTTAGGGACAAGACAGGCAGCTGCAGAGAACCACCACCATCAGCAGGTATACGAATGGCTTTGTGGATGACGGTCTTAGACTTTGAATTTTTTGTGTGCAGGTAATTGATGAAAAGCTCAGGTGGACTGTGTACCCTTCTGGTTTTAGGGCAAGGCTCCCTCAACGGAAAAGGCTGTAAATTTCCTCGTTCCCCCGCTACTGTGTTTTTTATCTGTGGTGTGGTGTGCAAGATACTTGTGTTCATCAGCGTGATTCGTCAGATGAATTCTCTCCCCCATCCCACTGGGGGGAGTGAGCAAGTGGCTCTGTGGTGCTCCGCTGCCTACTAGGGTTAAACCACAGCGGATGGGGGATAGGATGGATGTTGTGGGCAGGAGGGAGATCTGTGATTGAAAGCCGAGAGAGGAGACTGGACTGGGGAGATCCATGTTACCTTTGCAGTTTTGTCAGTTCTCCCTTGAAACCATGTTGGCTTCCATTGTAAGACCCAGCGTTTCATCTGCTCTGTAAGGGCGACAACTTTCTGTACATCAGTAGACGTCCTTTGTTTTTTTTTTCTTTTTTTTTTTACAGAATGCCACTAAAATCATCAAGTCATCTTGCATTCTTTATACTTCACCTGAATCAGCAAGTTCTGTTCCACTCAAGTGCATCTGTTAGGCAAACCTTTGTCCCTTTTAGATAGAAACATAAATAGCATTGCCAATTTGAAAACATTTTTTTGCTCTCGGGAGATGTAGAGCTGTTACAGAAGCAGTGAGGGTAGGGCAGTTTCTGCTGTGGGCGCTAGAGGAGTGATTATATTGTGCAGTAGGTATCATTATGAAATCTGGAGGAGCTTTGGAAGAAAGTTGTAGGGTGATTTTGTGTGTGCGTGTGCCTGTTGTCTTACCCCCGAAGCTGTAACCTCACCTTTTCACTTGTAGAGTGTTCTTTCTTTCCAGCAGCTTCA